AGGTGGCATCCTATGACAGTTCCACGCTGGAATTCACTGAGCTCCTGAGAGCGGCCCATTCTTTCACAAATGTTTGTAAAAACAGTCTGCATGCCTAAGTGCTTGATTTTATACACCTGTGGCCAGGCCAAGTGATTAGGACACCTGATTCTGATCATTTGGATGGGTGACCGAATACTTTTGGTAATATAGTGTAGATGTATGCGAGGAAGTACATTGAGCCAGTCTCAGAGCGCTAGTGAGAAAGTGATTCGACTCTGAATCGGCAGGAAGCGAATCAAATGTGAGTGTGTTTAGGGTTGCAGCTTGAGCCAAAGGACAGAGCTGTCGTACTGTAGAAATACCATGTGATCTGGAAATTTGACTTATTTGGAGTTCCAATTTCACTAATGAACATCCATCCAAGTTTTATTCATCTGTTCATTCATTCATCTTCAGTGAGCACGTTATCCTGGTCAGGGTTGCTGTGGAGACGGAATCTATCCCGGGAACACTCGGCATGAAGTGGAAGAATTCGCCTCGGATCGGAACGCCAAACTTTATTTTTCTTAATAATGTGGTACATAATGAATGAGAGGTTGTATATGACAAGAAAGATGTAAGCAGGTTTTTCTTCCATTTTTGTGTTTCAAACAGTACATGGGAAATAAAGGGAGTGGGGAACTGAAAAAAGAAAACACATCACAGGACTGGTTTGAGGAATCCTTTGAGCCAATTGTTAATTGAAAATCCCAATTCAAATGTTGCTTGTCAGGCTGTCGCTTACCTCTGTCAGTGAAATCACAGCTCTGTGTTGAGAATGTACACAGAAAATAAACAGCTGCCTGCCGCTTTGTAGCTTCCTAGTGTGCATGTAGGTTAAAAATCAAAACTGCATTCATTCCCATTACTCAGTATTAATTGTATTAATGCAGTTAATTAGCCAACTAGCCTACCATACATTCTTTCATTATATTAGCTACTACTTTTTTGCCTCGTCAATCACGTTTCAAAGCAACCAAAACATGGGACTGGGGCAGCAAACTGGAGACTTGCTCGGTGTGCTAGCTGAAGAATGTATGATGAGTTCAGTCCTGTACAGTGAAATCTCCGTGTTTTTAGCTAGCCAGCTTTCCCC